ACACACACACACACACACACACACACACACACACACACACACACACACACACACACACACACACACCAAAACAAAAAAACAAAACTAAACCAAAAAGAAACCAAAGCCAAACTGAACCAACAAAAATAACACCCCCCCAAAATGTCTCTCTCTAGAAAGAGATATGCTAAAATTCAGAATACCCTCTACTGTTATAAGTAGAATAGATATTCCAAACAGAACTTCATGATTCTTTGCTTTGAGTTTTTAAAGAAAAGTATGTAATTCAGTGGTAATTAGTGTATTCAAAATGTTGCACATTGGTTTTTCTTTTAATTTGCAAAATCTTTAAATTAGTAAATTGATTAACACATTTACTGAAAAACTACCCATCATTTCCAGGCAATCTGGAGGGCAGGGAGGAGGAAGAACAGTTCTCACCCTCCATAACCCTATGAGAAAGAAGATGTGCAAAGAAGAAGCTACCAGCAATGTAACAGACTTTTGGAGACAGCAAAGAAAATCATCTCCATGGAGAAATAGTATTACTAGATTGCTTTCCCTCCGTATTTAGCAGATACAGAAGTACTCTGGTTTTCATAGGAAAAAGAGACAATAAAGAAATGAGGAAAACCAGATTAAATGTATGTAAAAGCCCCCACAAAACTACAGGGTCACAACAGGAATGGTGGCAAATGCCTGTAATCCCAGCACTTGGAAGTGGAGGCAGGAGGACTACTGGGCAGCCTGAACTATGTAGAAAGGTGCTGTCTTGAAAAAAAGAAGAAGAGGAGGAGGAGGAGGAGGAAAGAAAAAAGCACATCAAATGTCAAAGCCGACTGTCATTCACCATAAGTGGCGTATCTGTCTCAGATGACCACCAGTGTGTCCTAACAACGAGCACACGGTGGCTCTTACTGTTTGGCCAGAGCTACAATCGGAGTACACAGCCCTGCATCAAAAGGAATGAATGTCATCAGACACAGGACAGGGCCGGCCACATTCAGGCAGAACTGCCTCCTGCTTATAAAGCATGTGTCACACTGTGGAATGTATTTCTATATACTACAGCTAGTTACGAAAGCGCTTAACACTGGGTAATTCTATAACGGGACAAATGAAAAGTCATCGTACAAACAAGAGGGAGATGTCAGGGATTTGCTCAGTGGTGCTGCCACCTGCCTCACAAGCACAAGGTCCTGAGTTTGATCCCCAGCACACCCCCCCACAATAAAGAGGGTGACAACGTGGCACAGTGGCAGGTTAAGGGCACAGCTGGGCCACACAGGTCTGGTTTGGGAGCTAGCAGCTGTGTGGTCTGGCATGTGACTTCACTCCTGTGAGTCTGCTTCTGCATCTGTAAACGGCAACACAACTACACAGCACAGCATATGCAATAGGAACTTGTGAGAAGGAAAGCCAGATTTCTTGAGGGTTAATTACATACCCTCAAAACAGTTGGCTGGAATTACGAAGACGGGGAACTCACAAACCACAAAGCTCTGAAGAGGCCACTTCCCCATCTCCTTTGCCTTGGTCTCTCTTGCAAATGCCTCTAGGCCTCCTAGTGGCCAGAACAGACCAGAGCTGACAGGCAGGTAATAAACCCTCACCAAATGTGCGATGAATAAGGACACAGGTGCACCACAGACCCGAGAAACTGCATAAAAACCACACGGCAAAGGCTTTCCCAAGTGCGTCTGGAGACTGCTTTCAGGAAGGCTGGCTGTCCCCAGAGCCTGTAATCTCATCAGCTCCGGAGTTTGTTATAAACTACATGTGAAGGTAGACTGACCTCAAACCTCACTGTCTATGTCATCGTGTAAATTTACACTGAGTCTAAATAGGCTTTTGCTTACCATTTAGAGAGGTTAAATGGCATCAGGGGAGGTTCAAATAAACTGAAACTAGTCAAAAAAGAAGAGCTACACTTCAGAAAATATATCATTGGTGAGCTTTTTTTCTTTTTTTCCAATACTGGGGATCGAACTCAGGACCTTGCACTTGCAAGACAGACGCGATGCCAGAGCTAAATCCCTGGTCCTTGGTGAGCTTTTTCCTGTGACAGGGCTAGTATGTTTGAAAGGAGGCGCAGTGAATTAAGACAATGACATTTATAGCCGCAGCGCGACGCTTACTCTTGGAGGCCCAATTACCATCCCTGTCCATCTTGTAAGTGTCATGTCTTCGTCATCTTCTAGACCCCAGCTAACTGTGCCATCTCCTACTCCTTTCTGGCCTTCTTCGAGTTCTTCCAACAGTCGGAAATTGCGAGGGACTTTTACTCCTAAAATAAATGGAAAGAAATTCAAGATACTAGCAACTCCAGGGGAACTTGTAAACCTAGAGCTAGCTGCTCAGTACTGCTACCTGGGAATACAGACACCAGCATGCAGAAAATTCCTGACAGCTGCCATACCTCAGATGTGCCACTTACAGAGCTATCAGTGCCCACTGGCACAAGGAGAGGGAAGTGAGGCCACTCACGTGGCCTGTGAGTGGTGACGTGATCAGGGCTAGGTCACCAACCTGAGGCACCCCGCAAACCCTCTGCTGACTCCGTGACATGTTGACGTGCTCAAACAACCACTTTGGGTCCACTAATGTGAGATGAAACCACTGATACCAAGTGCCAAACCAAGCATCCTGGAAGCAGGCTATTTGATTTGTTGTGTTCTTATTACATTCTTCTGAGACTGAGGTTATGCTCACCTGTTGGTATGACTCTCGACCTGAGAAGGAACAGCCACCATGGGTATGTTATATAAAGATAGTGTCCTTTTAGTCAACTAAGAGTCAATGAAGATACCAAGGATAAAATCTTCAATTCTTTTTCAATTCTGGAAGCCACAGTTTCTAACTTCTGAAAAGAACCAGAAGATAGCTAGCTCTCGTTTCCAAAAATCCCAAAGCCCAGCAAGTAGCTCATGAAAGCATCACAAACATCTCGTGAATGTGTGAGCTCAGTACCTGAGCTCAGACTGAGACTTCAGCCATGTCTACATATCCTCCAGAAAAGTCTAGAGGCCAAGGTGTGGGAGGGCATGGCCATGGAGCCCCTCTCCTTAGGACTGTGCTCCAACCAACGGTGCTTGTCTTTGCTTCCTCCCCCATTTACCCTGGCACTTGTACTTGTTTGTTCCCTGGAAGAAACCTGGGATCCGGATAAGTTATAAGCTCTGTCTTGAACACTGAGCCCACACCTGGCCAGACTCTCAGAGCAAGCAGGGCTTGCCCTGTGACCGGGGAAAGGTCCCCCAGTACACGAGACTTCCCAAAGCCTAGGACATATGTCACATCAACACAACCGGAACAAATACTGACCTCTACTATGTAACAGGCACCTTTCTAAGCACTGGGAACCAAGCAGTGAACAAAAGTGCCTGCTCTCATGGGGTCTACCCTCTAGTGGCAGGCACAGAACTAAAACATAAATACACAAATTACCTATAAGATAGTTAAGATTGTGTTCAGAACAAGTAATGAAGGAGGGGCTACAATACTAGTTGATGATCAAGGAGAGATCTGGTGCTCAGGTTACAAGCACGAGGGAAGGGAAGTGTCTTTACTCAGAGGGTCTAGCAAGTGAAAAGGCCCGGAAGTGGGACCTTGCTTAATGTCAAATAACAGAAAGGACCCCAACTTAGCTAAAAACTATGAGGAAGAGGGACAGGGATGTAGCTCAGTGGCACCATACCTGCCTGGAAAGCGCAAGGTCCTGAGTTCAAGCTTGGGTATCAAGTGGGGGGGAAGCTTCAAGGAAGATGAGAGAGCAGGAGGACATCAAAGACACCAACAGTTTCTGAGTGACACGAGACGCTACTGGAGTCTGAACAGAGGAGCTGAGCTAATGGGATCCCTGATTGCTCCGTGCAGAATGCAGTCCAGGAAGCAAAGGCCGCTGGGAGGAGGCAGGGAAGGCAGTGAGAAGTGGCATTGCAGAGGTGGCTTTTCAAGTTAAGTGAAAGAAGTCAACTACAGCACCTGGGGTTTTGGTCTAAGCCAAAAGGACAGAGGCATTAATGGTTCACTATGACTTTATTTTTATTTATTTGTTTATTTTTTTGAGACAGGGTCTCACTATGGAGTTCAGAGTGGGCTTGAACTATGTGGCCCAGGCTGGTCTCAACTCGCAGCAATCCTCCTGCCTCAGCCTCCCAAATGCTGGGATCATAGTTGTGCAACACCGTGCCTAGGATTATATGACTTTAGGTAGTATGTGATCAAATGTTTCATTTCACAAGTAATGTATTTATTTTTAAGAATAATTTGCTGGGTGTGGTGGCACACTTGGAAGTGGAAGCAAGAGGATTATAAATTCAAGGCCACTAGGGCTACACAGTAAGTTCGCGGACAGCCTAACCTACATAAGCATGACCCTGTTTCAAAATTAACAAAGAATACCAATTTAGGAACTAAGATTTTAGCCAGTGGCAGGACATTTGTCTAGTATGCATGAGGCCCTAAGTTTGAACCCCAGGACCACCAGAAAAAATAAAATAAATTCATACATACATACACCGTCTCTTAGGGTAAGTGATATCCTAAGTTACCATTTATGATAATGGTAATATTTCCTTCAAGATAAATGTAAACAAAATAGTTGACTAAAAAATATTAAATAATAGTATAACATGGTGCTTCAAACTAATCAACAAAAAACCTAAAAGCATACTTGAATTGTTGGTTTGGAAAACACTCATTTTTCTTCTAAAGAATGGCTAGCTGGACTATTCAGCTGTGCTGGATTAGTCTCTTCCAGCAAAAAGAAAACTGAAATTTAAATCTTTAATAGACCTAATTTGGATAGGAAAAAAAAATCATTGTGCACTATGACTGCTGTTACTGTTGGTTAACTTATAAGCTTGCACTACTGAAAATGAACACCAAAAGAGCAGTCTGGGCAAGAAAGCTGATGAGTGACTGAGGTATCTGCTCATGGACCCTGGAATGCAGGCCGGGGCGTGAGCACTGGCCTCCAGTGCCCAAGCCCTGGGTTGGATCCCGGCACCAAAACACACAGACAGTGCCATGATACATGTTGGAATTATGTTCCCTCTAACTCACACGTGGACGTGCTAACTCCCAGTACCTCAGAATGTGAATGAATGTGGCCTTTAAAGAGATGCTCAAGTTAAAATGAGGGGTTTTTTTTGGTGGGAGTGGTAGGGTTCCCAATCCAATCCCAGCTACTTGGGAGACCGAGGCAGGAGAACTGCAAGTTTGAGACCAGCCTTGGCAATTTAGTGAGACCCTGCCTCAAAATAAAAAGGGCTGAGGATGTAGCTTGGCGGTAAAGTGCCCCTGGATTCCTTCCCAGTGCATGCACACGCACACGCACACACGCACACACACACACACACACACACGGAATAAAGGAAGTCACTTCAATGTATTGTAGGTTAGAAACAGTAACTGAAAATCACAGAGTATAAGGTCAACCTTTGCTGTTGCTACAATACTGGCATCACAGGACACTTTCTCTCTTTCGCAGTGCTAGGAATCAAAACCAGAACCTCATGCATCCTAGGCAAGTGTTCGACCACTGAGCTACAGCCCCAACCCAGGCAATTCACTTACTCAAAAATTAAAATGAAGGGGACGGGGATTTAGCTCAATGGTTCCGCCGCTTGCCTTGCAAGCACAAGGACCCAACTCCCAAGTTCAATCCCTGGTACAAAAAAAAAAAAGAAAGAAATTCTTGAAAAATTAAAATGAAGATCTCAAAAAGCCTTTACTTATATAGGTTATATCTATCGATTTCTGCCAAATTAGAAATTAAAACAGAATTTTTAAAATGTTTATTCACTAAAAACAACAAAACATATGTTAAGACAAAGAATTTATGTTATGAAGTAACTACATTTCCCAAAGAACAAAAGAGAATTAGTGAGAAGAATGGCCCTGCTTTGCAACTCAGTACTGACTCCAAACAACTGGGACCATGAAGAACTGAGGTGGGCAGGGGCGTGGGAGTCCCGTCTACAGCAGACGGCCCTCTGCTCCAGGCCAAGGTCTGTGCCCAGGCTCTGATCAGGGACCATCACTCTGCAACACCCGGGGTCACCTAATCGTGCTCAAACATCCTGTGAGCAGGGACAGGGATGCAGCTTCATGGTAGACCACTTGCCTAGTACGCCCGAGGCCATGGGTTTGATTCCTAGCACCAGGAAAAAAGACACTCTTTGGAACTCATGCATCCCACTCTTAGCTCAGACTGTTTTTTGTGGTACTGAAGAATGAACCCAGGGCCTTCACAGTAAGTTACACACCAAGTCTTTTATTAATTTTTGGGGCAGGGTCCTACTAAACTGTCAAACTCCCTAGGCTGGGCTCAAACTTTCAATCTTCCTGGCTCAGCTTCCCCGTGCTGGAATTACAGGTATACACCTCAGACAGTAGTTTTTGTAAGAAGGATAAGTAAAGACTGTTAGCAGTGGCAGTTTAGTTCTCCGTTAACCTTTTTCCCCCTGGTACCAGGGATTGAACTCGGGACCTTGAGCTCGTGCTGCAGGCAGCGGAACCACTGAGCTAAATCCCTGGCCCAGTTCTCTGTTAACCTTTACTCAGCTAAATATTCAAGAATTTACGTTCTACAAACAAGAACACTCCTAAAGTAGACTGAATTTTAAATTCATTTTTTCTAAGCCATTAACTTTAATTTTCAGTCAAAAATTGATTAAGGGCAAAGTATGAGGTATAGTGGGAGCTAGCAGAAATAAAAAATTACAGAAACTTACAAATTATGGAGTGGCTCCTTTAGCACTCCTGAGGTTTAGTAGAAGTAGCTAATCCCCATCTGGTGAGCAGCACACTGAAAGCCCTGCACCAAGAACACCACATCCCCGGTAAGAGACCACAGGGGGCTCTTCACCTTCAGGGTAATCAAACTGGACTCAACCCACATTTACAAGCCAAAAATCTACTCCCTTCTGGACTGCAGGCTTTTACCTTCTTGGCAAAATTTCCCTATAAAAAGCTACCATCCATACACACATGCTGCTTTTGGTGGGATTATTATCCCACACTGAGCCAGCACAGGGGGCCACCAAAGAATAAAAACAGGGACCTCCAGTCTGAATATCAGGTCTCCCTGTAGAAACAAGATACACAAATCCAAAGTTAAAAGTTCAGTGAAGACACATGACAGAAATACAACATATCCCAGAGCAGTGCTTCAGGACTTCTCAGGGCCACACACACTCTGAAATTTGAGAAGCACTGAAGAGGCTGGGCCACAGGGCTAAACCACCGGACTCTGAGGACAATCAGTGGGGAGCTATTCAC